GTGGAACCGACAGGGGAATACACCATATCGATTGCAAAAATAATTATCAAAAACAATTTACAATAGCCGAAGATATCACATAACATAGGTACACGCAAAAGTCGAGCGAATTTAAAACTCTTAGAAGTCGCTTAAAAAACACAGGGATCGAAACGTAATACTAATTAGAAAGGTTTGAAATTCCTGGCGTAAACATATAAAAAAACTCGAAATGTGGTAGATACTCTTTGCTGGTAACTCTGTACATGTAAGTACATAGCTAGCTGGTCAGGAAATCGCCGCTTTCCGTCGACGAGACGCCATCCACTTTTACTTTCGCCCCGTCCGTTCACCTGGCTATGAAACGAACATGCCCTAGATACCGCCCACTTTGTGTTTACATGAACCCTAAACATTAACCAAGCGACCTGAATACTTTAGAGATATTGGAATAAAACGATCACTAATACGGGATCATTACACATTTTCATCATATTTTACAGTAATAATAAAGGTGAAATGAAACTAGAATTAAAGCTCTATTACGAACCATGCTATCTGAGGCTCATAGTTAATTGTACTTTATAACCGACATAAAAAAAAGGTTCTCAATTCTCAATTGTTACCTCATAACTATCAGTTCTAAACCGATTTGGAAAATTATTTTTATCTAAAAGGATATACTTACGGATTAGTCCCAAAAAAATCTTATCGATATCGGATCAATAATTTAGTTTTTAAATCAAAATAATCGGTTTTGACGCAATTGAAATGTTTTCCTTTTTTTTTTTGTGGAATACAATTTTTAATTGTGTGTAAGTATTGCTTCACACATTGTGAACCGATTTTATTTATTCCTTTTTTAATCAAAATTAATTAATCTATTTAATTTAATCAATTTTTATCTGATAGCGCAGCGGTACTAAAAGCACTGCGAAACAACAAAACAAATAACAAATTAATAATCGAATGCCACCAGGCACTGGATAAGATATTTTTCAATAATCAAGTTATCCTCCAGTAGATAAGGAGGCACAGTGAATCTTATGATAACGAAGCCGTAGATGAGCAATCTAAAAGGAGTTATTGAACGAAAGTGGCAGGCCTATATCCACTTCTTCCTTATCCTTTCTCGCAGTTTCGAACATGGATTCGTCAAAGATCCATTAACATACAAAATCAAAGATGGATACAGGGTACTGACTGCAGACAATCAAAATTGGCCGTGTCAACGTTGAATCAACGACTATCAAAACGTTTAATATATCTAGGTAGGAAAAACCTTAAAACAATGATAGCGACAACAACGGGTAAGTAAACATTTATACACAATAGGGGCCAAAGACAGTTTGACTATGTCGAAGCTGTTTTGAGGCCAAAGAAACGGCTGTTCACGTAATACTAGAATGTGTAGAAGTGGTCCTTTGACGTTCAGAAATATTCGTAACTGTGAGGTCGCTCCGTGAAGCCTGTGAGGATCCAGGAAGCTTCTGTATTTATAGGCCGAGCCGGGCTGGCTGTACTAGCCGCGACTCATACGCAAAATGGCCCAAATGAGAGGCTTAGCGCAAAAAAAGAGTCCAGTTTACATTTTACATGCAACATGCATTTTTAAAGATTGGTTGATGAGTACTACATATAGACATACTTTAACACATTTTTTTGTAATTAAATACTTACATATTTTACTAAGAAAATAAAAAGAACAAACAAACACACTGAATACAAATGTTTATGTTATAAATATGGGAATCAAACCTGCAATCATAAGAAGATCAAATGTCTACATCCTCCCCCTCCACCCAGTCATACTTAGATTAATAAAATAATTAAATATTCAGAAAACTGTAAAATTCATAGTTTATAAATCTCACATCTATTGTTTACATACCAGTATTTTTTATAGAATAGTTTATGGGTAATAAAAGTATTTAATCACCAAACTAATATGGTTAAAGACAGTTAACAGTTAACAGGAAGTTATTAAAGTTAATACAAGTAGGTGGCTATTAACTTTAATATGTAAAAATAAAAAAAATTTGGTTTAAGACAAGAATATGATAATTATGAGTTAATGAAGCCAAAATATTTCCATAAACAATATACTCTACAGTTTTTATTATATTATGTTACTTTAGATGGCTGCTTATGAATGTAACTGTTCCAAATTTTGTAATAATTAACTTTAAATTGAATACTTTATGAGTGTAAACTGTCTAACCCAACTATTATTATCTTATTAATTACCTATTAAAGATATCATAATAGTAAAACTTAAAATGAAAAATTATGAAAATTGATAAATGAAAAATCCAGCTGTCAAAAGCAAAATAAAAGAATGGGAAGGGTAATTAATACATCTAATGTAAGATGAGCACAATGCCTGCTCATAATGTGTGACACACAGTTTGCTCAACTGTCTTCATGCAGTCTCACATAGTATGGAAAAATAAGCCTTAAGTAATTCATTTTTAGTTGCAAATTATCTATTGAAGATTTGTAAAAAACATGTGTGATTAATGTAGAAACAGTAACACTATGACTTCACTAATGTTGAAATTGTATCATTTGTATTTCACAATTCATTCTTTATTCAGAACTGTGGTTTTTTTCTTGAAGTATTGCTATATTGTATCTTGATATGTATTTGAATTTAAAAGAAAATAGTAAAAAATGTGAGAAAAAAAAAAATATGATTTTACTATTTTAATTCTAAGCTAAAATAATTTCTATAAGTTTACCAGAGGATACTGATAATCACTTATCATGGACATTAATAATATACAATATTATTTTAATACAACATTCCTATACAAAACTTAGAAAAAAAAAGAGATTATAGTTCACAGTCGCAGAAGTTAAAACTGATCATATATGTATTGGAGAAATGAACTTGAACTGCTCCAAAAATTTGGTAATTGTTATAGGATGACAAATGTCAAATGTTGTTAAACAACAAACACAAATATAAGTGAGTAAGAAAATGAATGCATAATTTAGTAAATGTGCTCTATCTTTAATGGCCACATTAAGTATTCCAGAGAGTGATTAGTAGTGCCCACTTTTTATTCTCTGGTTGTAAAAAAACAAAAATTAGTAATTGTGGCTAAAGTGCAAAAAAAAATATTTTACTTAACCTGTCTAACAAAAATAAACTGCAGGCCATTGAATGGTACATGATTCATAATAATTATTTATTATAATGAGGTCTATGTTCAACAGTGGACAATTGGGGGGAAAAGGAATTGTTGGTAATGGAGACTAAGAATCCCATTGCTAGCAATATATCCAACCAGGTCGACCTCCTCGCGGTTCCCCCTGGAAACTATCATTATTAATTCCTGATGAATTCATCATGATGGGCTAACTGATCTGTTTTCATCCTCATCGATTACCCTTCACTGGTGCCCCGCCAGCGGGCTAATGGGATAGCGCAGGCGGGTTTACCACTCCATTTTCATGCAATAAAAAAAAATAGTGGACAATTAATGGCTGATAGGATATGATTTACTACAATAGAGTTTTTTACAGATGAAAATAGGTGTGTAACCTTGCCTGCACTATCAAATGAGAACAAAAAGACAAATCAGATTGCCCAATATGATTGATTCACTAGGAATGCACAATGGTTGAAATCAATCTGCCAGGATATAATGCTAGTAATGAGATTACTAATCTCTAATTACTAACAATCCCTTCCCCCTAGAAAGGTGAAGTAAATGCTGTAGGCCGACCCCAATCGTCAATTCTGAGACGTCATTTCTCTAAATCTATCTTTAAAATTAAGATTTCAATTTAATATCACAGCAAAATCTTTATATTAAGGCCCATTATGAACTAACTTTGTGATAGATTTAAGTGTAAATTACTATAAATTTAATTTATACTGGTCCATAAAACAGACATTTGAAACAGGAAACTATCAAATTAAAATATTAAAGATAAACAGATAGGTTTAGTGAAATGGTACATCCTAATTAAGCCCATTCTCTATCAGGCCAACTTTAGGATAAGCAAAAATATTTGATGATGATTTGTTATGACATTATATAATTGTTTGTTTGAATTTATTTGTTAGAGTTTGATCATGCATGATTACAAGCATAGTCAAAACATCAAACAATTTAGAGTATGCAGGTCAGTAGAGCAACCTTGATTATGAGTTTAGGAATCCAATATAGGAATTTGTTTATTGATGTTACTTTAAGATTTTTATGAAGCAATTTTTTGGTCAGTGGATACACTTAGGAGCAATTCTAGTATTATTTTATTTATACTTTTAGTGTTAGTTTTAGTATATCAAACTGTTATTATTTACTTAATTGCAAAAGTAGTATAATTTTGATATAATTAAATATTTTATTAATATAAACTCCTAATTATATTAATATAATCTACAAGTTTGCCCTATTATTAACTAATAAAAAATGATTTTCTTGTTAAGTGTATATATATATTTATTTAAGCATATATATTATATTAAAGTTTAAATTAATAAATAAACTCATGCTCTTTACCTTACAGACTGAAGAACAAAACAAAATCACTTGCTATTATGCAGGCATACTTCCTGGGCATCTCTACAGTCACCTATGTATACATCATTACGAACAATATTTTTAATCTATTTCAACATTGTACATGATGATAATAATTAACACAACTTTCATAATTAATTAATGGCAGTATAAACAAAACATACATACCTATTCATACATTTGGTGTTACTATACATTAAATTAAGGAGAAAGTGAATTGGATAACACAAAAAACATTGACATATAACTTGGTAACTAGAAATATTTATTCTTATTTACTTCACTCATACCTTGTCCTATGACAACCATTAATCATATTGAATTCAACAGTTTTAAGTACAACTTTTATGACATTATAATTCTTGTTTTTTTTTTTTTTTATATCAATGCACGGATCAAATTAATTTATATAAGAAAGATAAATACACCGTCAAGGATATGTCTTTACGGCCTAGATTAACATGATAAAATGAGAGACTATACCTAAAATCCAAACTGAGATTCCTCTGATGTGTGGGAACTTTTGCACCCCTAACTTCGCTTCGGCTTCCGTGGACGGGAACATCCTCCAACATGCTCACATAGACGCGGTCGCAGCACAACACAATATAACCATATCAATAATATTTCGATTCAAAGAGTAAATAACAACATTGACAATATGGCGACGAGTAAAAACCGAAACAAAACGTATTCCCGTCGTGATAAATTGTAATGGCAAAATTAACTATCTATTCACAGCCTCGATGCTCTATCAATTCTTGTTTGGAAAACAAAAATTGTAACAGATAACATTAACCAATTTAATGTCCGTCCAATTAAGATTTTACACAAACACAACGAATTTAGAGTATAATCACTAAAAATGAACACTGACCGTTTTGCAAATACAATATTATGTGCAGACGTACGTAATAAAAATAAATAAAATCGCAAAATCAAAGAAATCGATGTTTCGTCTGAAACGACATCTCATTATTTTTAGTTTTCACAATATGTCAGCTAGAGATGATAATGTTGCTATATCAGAATATTCTTTTCCATTTTTTAGGTAAATATTTTTATATAACTTGCTGTTTGATGAAATAGATAGGAAAAAGGAATTGTAAATAGCTAATAGAAATGGCGCACCTAATAGAAAGTGGTAAACGTCACTGTAATTTCACTGCTAGTATATGGTAGTGATCGAGGATATTAGTAAAAGAACCAAAGTAACCAATATAGCCCGAAGGATAAATAAGCTGAAATAGCAATAGGCTGGTCACATAACTTGAAGAACTAACAACCAATGGGGAACAAACGTTCTTGAGTGGCGATCCCATACGGGCAAACGCAGTGTAGAGCGACCTCACCACTAGATGGATTGACGACTTGTAATGCATTGCAGGGAGTCAATGAATGCAGGTGGCTCAGGACCATTCTTTATGGCAGTCTATAGGGAAGGAGAAAGAAAGATAAGAAGGTCCAGCAGTGGACTGATAATAGCTGAAATGATGATGATGATTATGGTAGTCGTCATAAAATTTGCTAACTAACAATATATCTACGACTGTATAACTGAATACATAGCTTGAGTAGCAAAGATTTGAAATCCAACGAATTACAAATTGAATGCACAAGAAAAAGATAAAAAAAATTAATAGCTAAATGACATGTTTGACGTTTTTATGGATAATGGGAAAAATACATTATAATTTTTGTATAATATTCTACAAAAATGAGAAAATTCGCATTTTGCTTTAAATAAAACAATGCTTGCAAAATCTGAACATATATGTATATACTCACGACTTTGCCCAAGTGGGGTAATAAATAATAGTAAAATGATGTGCTTTGAGGTAATTTTAATATTATTTACTGGCAATAGTTGTTGTAAATCATGTGGTCAAGTTGTCTGTTGAAAAAAAGCGCGGGAAACGTTTAAAAAAGCGGGAGTGTTTTTTGATCTTCTTTAAATTAATTTTATTTTTATTTATATAAGGATTAGTCTTTTTTATATATTGTGTATTAGATTGTATATTTAATTGTATATTTTGTAGTAATAGTGTTTGTTGCTGTAAATATTGGTAAGTAAATTACCTATATTAACATTATGGATCCACCTATAGACCCTGGGGGGACAACCCCCCAGGTGTCTGCAAATATAACTATTCCATTCAATAATAGTTTTGATATATTGGGTGAATCTAGTATGGACACAGATGGTTCTAGCGTTGCAAGTTCTAAACGTAAGCGAGTACGTGGTGAACGTCGCATTTGCAAACATTGCAATAAAAAACGAAGGAGGCACACCAAGGGCCTTGAATCTAAAATTAAAGATAGTGATTGTCAATGTATTGAAGATGAGAATCAAACTCAAGTATCAATACCAGTTGTAAACAATACCGAGTCTGTTAAACCTGCTTCTCCACCCAGTACTTTAAGCAGAACTTTGTACAATGCCGAGGATATAGCACCTTATGTCGTTCATGTACAAAAAAATGAAACACATCCTAATGATAACACTACATTACATCCTATTGCATTTGGTCGCTTTTTACACACTAATAAGATAAATAATATAGTGAATGGTAGCCTCAAAAGAATAGGAAGAAACCGTTTATCGCTTTCTTTCTCAAATTTTGAAAATGCAAATGCATTTTTAAATAATAGTAACTTAGAGACACATAATTTTAAGGCATTTATACCTTCTTTCCATGTAACCCGTATGGGAATTGTGAGGGGTATTCCTAAAGATTGGACAGAAGAGGAAGTAATCCAAAATATATCAGTACCGATAGGTTGTGGGAAAATTCTAAAAACCAGAAGAATAAAGAAAAAGACAATTAATGAAGGACAACCAAGTTTTATTAATACTGAAACCATTGTTATCACTTTTGATGGACAAATATTGCCAAAAAGAGTATTTATGTTTTACTCATCATTAACTGTAGATTTATACATTTACCCTACTATCCAATGCTATAACTGCTGTAGGTTCGGACATGTCAAGATGCAGTGTCGTTCAAATCCTCGGTGTTATAAATGCAGGCAAAATCATACAGGTGATAAATGTGAAGTAGATGAGGAAAATGTTTCTTGTATCTTGTGTAATGGTTCTCATTCAGCAATTAGTAAAAAATGTCCTGAATATGCACGTCAGAAAGCCATTAAAGAAACAATGGCCCATAGTTGTGTTTCTTATGCTGAAGCATCAAAATTTCATCCTCCAACTTCTAAACTATATTCAGATGTATTAACATCATCATCTCCTTCCAATAAATCTCATTTTCAATCTTCTTTCCTTAAAGAGAAATCATCATTACCACATATACAATCATCATATAAAAAAACAGTTACACTTAAACCACGCTCTCCTCAAAAAATACAACAAGGATATGATCGTTCTGCCCATGAAGCCATAGTTAAGGAATATAATATTCCTGCTCCCTCTAATGGTTGTGCATTATCATCAAATAATATTGACAATAATCAATCCATCATTGATATTATTCTCATGCTTATTAAAGTGTTATCGCAATCAAAAATGATACAAACAACTTTACCACCGTCCAACGATGCCATGTACAATGTATTTTCTCAATTATTAACTTCTCACAATGGATTACAAAGTCCAAATAATTCAGTGGAACTGTCGTAGCATAACAAATAAGAAATCAGACTTATTTTATTTGATTAATAAATATAATCCTTTTATAATAGCTCTACAAGAGACTTGGTTAAAGCCAGGATATCCTTTTAGGATTTCAGGCTTTACAAGTCTCCGTGATGATAGAGCTGACGGATATGGCGGTGTTGCCATATTGGTCAAAAACTCCCTTCTTTTTTCTTCTTTTTCGCTTCCTGTATATAGCGGCATTAATGCAGCTGCTATAATTATAAATGGTATCTGTTTTGTTACTTTATATATTCCTGATCCTACATGCCAAATATATTCACAACTAGAACAATTATTTTCAATTTTACCTAAACCTTTTCTCGTAATGGGCGATTTTAATGCTCAGCACCAATCGTGGGGCAGTTCTACTTCTAATTTTTATGGTGGAAAACTCCTGACGATAATTGACACTTACAACTTATGTATTATTAACTCAGATGTACCGACACGTAGAACTGCACCGAATGAAGGGTTTAGTGCTCCTGATATTTCAATATGTTCTTCTGATTTAGCTTCTTCACTGTCGTGGTATCCTCATTCCTCTACCTTCGGAAGCGATCACTTTCCCCTCATTCTTTCTTTTCCAATTTCCATTCCCTCAAGTCGAAAGAGTGGTCCTCGACTTAAATATAATTTATCAAATGTAGACTGGAATATTTACAAACAATATTTAGATAATAAAATATCGGAGTTACCTATTGTTTATCATGGAAATGAACATCAATGTTGTAATGACTTGATAATTAATATGAAGGAGGTTGCTGATTTATTATTTCCTGTTAAAAATAGTGCTTCAGGGAAAATTCCCTCCCCACCTTGGTGGGACAAAGATTGTACGGAAGCAATTAAAAATCGTAAAGAGGCTGAAAAAAATTATAATAATTACATGACATCAGAAAATTTTGAAATTTACACCGCAGTTTCACGTTCTACTCGAAAACTACTGAAAAAAAAGAAATTGGAAGGTTGGAGAAGATTTTGTTCTTCTATCTGTCCAGAAGTTAATTCATCAGTCGTTTGGAATAATATTAAAAGATTCAGATCTGCCTTCAGTGATCATACATCACGTTCTGCACTCGATTTAACTTTAGCGAATAAATTTTTAGATCGCCTTGCTCCTAGTTATGTGCCGGAATGCCTTTACAATATTTCTCTATCCGTCTCTGACGAATTATCCGAACTTGAGTCTCCTTTTACTCTTGTAGAACTTAAAGGTGTTCTAGCTTGTATTAAAGACTCTGCACCGGGAGAAGACGGTATACCGTATTCCTTTTTTAAAAATGCTAGCGATGCGACATTAATTTACTTTTTAAATATAATTAATTCCATAATTATTTCGGGAAATATACCTACTTCATGGAAGTCTCAGATTATTATACCATTTCTAAAGCCTCATAAACCACCTTCTGAACCATCTTCATACCGTCCTGTTGCACTTTCCTCTGTCTTACTAAAGCTAGCTGAACATTTAGTGAAGAACCGTCTAGAATGGTTTTTAGAAAGTAATAACTTACTATCCCCGAACCAGTTTGGTTTTAGGAAAGGTAAGAGCACCTTAGATAATGTGAGCGTTCTTATTTCAGATATTCATATAGCTTTCTCACAAAATTTGTCAATCCTCTCAGTCTTTTTAGATATAAATTCTGCCTATGATAATGTAATAATTTCTATTTTAAAAACTAAATTACAAGCTTTAAATGTACCGGTAATGCTTTCTAATTTCATTATTAATATTTTATCAGAAAGAACAATACATATGGATCTAGATGAAGATACCAAATTATCTAGAACAGTATGGAAAGGCCTTCCACAAGGATCTGTTCTCAGCCCAATTTTATTCAACATATACACATACGATCTAGAATCATTCCTTGATAAATCCGTAAAAATTTTACAATATGCTGATGATCTCTTATTATATTTTATTGCGAAGTCCATAGAATCTGCTTCTGCCAAATTATCTGATTCATTAGATATGTTAAAAACGTGGTTAGATGCAAATGGTCTTAATCTTTCTGTAACCAAGAGTAGTGTAGTTTTGTTTTCAAGAATGAGATCACCGCAACAAATTAAGGTGCTTTATGATAACTCATACATTCCTATAAAGACTGAAATTAAATTTTTAGGTATCGTGCTAGATAATAAATTAACAGGTCTGTCCCACTGTAATTATATTTCCACGAAATGTGAGCGTAACCTCAACATTCTTAGGTGCCTTGCTGGAGTTTGGTGGGGAGCACATCCCGTTTCACTAAAACTTGCTTATAATGGTCTTATAAGGAGTGTCATTGATTATGGAACTTTTTTGTTAGCTCCAGGAAGTTCATTTGCTTTTAAGAAATTGGATTTAATTCAATCAAAGGCCTTGAGGATTATCTCTGGAGCAATGAAATCAAGTCCAATCAATGCTTTACAGCTCGAAGTCGGTGATCCACCTTTGGTTTTAAGAAGGCAATATTTATCTGATCGCTTCTTTTTTCGTTGTTTACAATTATCTGATCATCCGCTTATTCAAAAGTTATCTCAACTATATATCTTTATTTCGTCTTCATCTTATTGGAAACATAAAAAACCTCCATGTTTAATACAAAGTTATGAAAAATATAAATCCATAGAATCTCCCACTTTTACATCGTCCTGTTTTCCCATTTATAAATGCTCATATCAATCTTTAGTTTTATCTCCTAATATTAAATATGATTTTGGGTTATCAAAAAATGATTCAGAATTGAATGCCAAATTTATGTTTATAACTGACATTGAATGGAATGAATGGCACTACATCTTTACTGATGCATCAAAACCAGACAATAGCGGTTGTGTAGGTGTGGGTGTGTTTCATTCACAATTTAATATCGTTCAAAAAATTAAACTTCCACCGGAATCTTCAGTTTTTACCGGGGAATGCTATGGTATTTTAAAAGCTGTAGAATATATACTTTTAATGAAATTACATAAGGCAATAGTTTTCACTGACTCTATGAGCTCTTTGCAAGCTCTAGCCAAATATCCGTTTAAATCAAAACCAGTTTATCCCATTATTTGTGACATAAGACAAAGTCTTTATCTTTGCATGTTGAGAAGGTATTCCGTTTCTTTTGCCTGGTTACCAGGACACAGTGGTATTAGCGGCAATGACAAAGCTGACCTTATTGCAAGAGAGGCTGTAACTTGTGGTGATATGTATCCGTATCATAATTACTGTAGTGACCTAGCTTGTCTCCCAAAAATATATTTAAGGTATGCCTGGAAGGAATATTGGGAAAAAACAAGTACAATAAAAGGAAGATTTTATCGCCTTATACAACCCGATATTCCTTTCAAACCATGGTTTTGTAAATTAAAGCTTGGAAAGACCGCAACAACTATTATAACTCGTATGCGTCTAGGTCACGTATGCACACCTTCTCATTTATACAAGCTTGGTATTGTACAAAGTTCGTCGTGTAATTGCGGTGCTGAAGTGGCGGACTTGAATCATATATTCATATATATCAGTTTTGCGGTCATCTGGAGGAGAAGGCTAAGATAGCTTCCAAAAAGTTAGGAGTGCTCAATAGGGTGAGACGATATTTCATGCCAGAACACCGCCTGAAATTATATAAAGCCCAAGTCAGGCCGCATATGGAATACTGTTCTCACCTGTGGGCAGGAGCGCCACAGTACCAACTCCTTCCGTTAGACCGCATTCAAAGTCGGGCGGCTCGAATTATCGATAGTCAACGCCTTACTGTCCGACTTGACCCATTGAAACTGCGCAGAGATGTTGCGTCTCTGTGCATCTTCTACCGAATTTATCATGGGGAGTGTTCTGAGGAATTGTTCGGATTGATACCTGCTGCTGATTTTCACCACCGTACAACCCGCCACAAACTAAAGTTTCATCCCAATCATCTGGACGAGTGGCGGTCTTCCACCGTGCGTTTTTCAAGGCACTTTCTTCCACGCACAACCATTCTTTGGAATCAACTTCCAGCAGCAGTATTTCCGAACCGATACGACAACATAACCTTCAAGAAAAGAGTATATTCCTTTTTAAAAGGCCGGCAGCACACCTGCAATGCCGCTGGTGTTGTGGGTGATCATGGGCGGCGGTAGTCACTTACCATCAGGTGAGCCGCATGCTCGTTTGCCCCCTGTGTTGTAAAAAAAAAAAAAAAAAAAAATATTCTTCTCATGTTCTAAATTTGACCACACCTCCCTTTTTAATCATCTCCGATCCATCCGTGTTCCATTCCCAACTTCTATTCTTACTCTACTTTCTTCCAATGATCCTATTATCTATAAAATACTATCTTCATATATATATGATAACAATATTAAGATTTAGTTATATTACATGAATACATTTATAGTTGCATCAATTGCTTTTCCTATATATTTATAAGTATATTCTCATATGTACAAGTATATCCTTCATATCCTATAAATATCCTAGACCTAATCCTTATCCTTTCTAAATTCGTTTGTGTTAGGTATTTTTATTACTATTATCGTTTCCCCGTTTTGTTCTTGGCAAAATACCCTAATATCGGGGTGAACGCCACATAAGAAGAAAAAAAAAAAAAAAAAAAAAAGTTGTCTGTTTTTTTTTATAATATAGACTGTAATGTACTTTTAGACTCAACCTCTTCTGTGGGTCTTTGCAATAAAATAGACAATGGATAATATCTAACATCTACGTACTCTAATACTTGCTAATATAATAAGGTAGCTTATACATCATATACGTCGCTAACTTTCTGTGTCGCTGCCCTCTCCCCACATAGTTTCAGATTATTTTCTAGGTGAGATCTGGCCCCATAAAAAAATCCGAATAGATATGTACTATTTTAGACATTATTTGCTCATAATTAACAACTCCACTCTTGATGCTAGGGTAGGCAAAATATAATCAAACCCCCTTAAATAGGTAAGTATTTCGTTCTTGCTCCCGCATTATATTCTATTTCTTTTTGTCTAGGTTTCGCTCACATTTTATGTGAAAAGGACGTACAGTAAAAAACAAAGTTGATAAACGTCTACCTAGGTATTTTTTTAATTGATTGATTTTATAGATATAAATATATATCTATATCTGATAGTTTTATTTTGAAAATATTAAATTTTTTTTTTTTTATAAATTTACAGTAATTAAATAAATATTTGATGCCTATCATCATCATATCAACCTTTAACTGTCCACTGGTGAACATAAGCCTCCCCCTTGGCGGATTTCGCCAGTGGTTGCCATGCTTGGCAGGCGGATTGGCAACCGCTGTTAGGCTTTAAAAATGTGTTAAGAAGGGTGTTGCAGCCCATCCCTCACCCTCCCTTAGTGACTCCTCTTACAACACCCACAAATATAGTAAATAATTTAAAGAATATTAATTTTATATATAGGTAGTAAATATAATTATTATGTAAGTACCAACCTCTTCTTACTAGCGAAAGCAGAAATATTTAGTAGTTAATCAAGAAAATTTCAATAAAAAAAAAACATGGAATATAACAAAATAAAAAATTGCACAGTTTGAAATAATTAATACTTCTATTATATATGTATGATATTAAGTGGTATTTTAAATAATTTACATATTAAATATTTAATTCAACGTCATATAATACTTGTACAATATTAAACAAGCTGACTTTACACTACACATTAAGTTATATGAGATTTGTACATATCCTCAAAATAGCAGCAGTTAATCATCATCATCTTCCTACTCTTATCCCAATTATTATTTGGGGTCGATGTAATATATTTTTTGTCCATATTACAAAAAGATTTATTTGGCTTATAGTTTTATGACCAGCTGCCTGCCTAACATCAACCCTCTTTGGGAATAAAATAGCATCAATTCAATGGTGGTTATTTAAATATGGAAATTGATATTGTACTGGTAATGGAGTTATAGTAAAAAAGATGATAATTTGTTAAAATTTTATATAAGCAGTATAAACATGGTGCAAATTATAAAAAAAAGTATATAAGTTAGATATCAACAATTTGTACCCAGCCATAATGTTCACACCAGTTCCTATCCTGTTGCAACAAATTGCCACTAACTTCATAACATTCTATACTTTTATTTCCAATTAATATATCAATTAAAAATTAGAGTTGTTAAAACTTAGCCAAATTCAAGATGTTGCATTGCAGACATTGCAGTACATAAAATACTTACAGAATAATTCCTTAATAATAATTTACAGAGTGCAACAAACTTTACAATTGCTTTAAGCTATTAATTAAAATAATTATCTCTTTATTTTCATGGTTTAGGTGAAGAATCCTGTGATTGTCTAGACGGTTGCCTTTTATGAACATTAGGTTTCCTTAATCTGTGATAATTTGGCATCACTTTACTCAAAAAGTCCAATTGAAGTAGTTGTGATGGTTGCTTCTCTAGTGCTTCCCTAATATGGTGTTCTGATCCCCATATCACTGTGTTGTCAATTAATGTTTGTGGGGCAGTTAGATGACAAGCAGCACCTTGCAAAGAATAGAGTTTGATTAAAACATATTATATTTTTTAATATATATACATGCTGTGTTTTTTTTTTTAAGGATAATAATGGAATGGTAACCCCGCCTGTGGTAACGGTATATGCTGGCAGTTCTCTAGTAAGATATAATAGGAGAGAATGAAAAGGCAGGCTAATTAGCCCATCATGATGAATATACTTGTAATTCAGCACGATGGTTTCCAGAAAAGACTATGTGAAGGTTGACCTGACAATGTATATTGCTAGCAATGGGACTGGTAGTCCGCATTACTAACAACCCCTTCCCCCCTTTTATGCTGTGTTTGCCTAATGTATAATAATTATTATACTAGTTCTAAGCTGTATGATGATATAAATCCTTATACTAATGAAAATAATTGTTGATAAAATTGAATAAATATGGTAAAATTAAATAAAATCAATTTTAATAGTAATGATTTTTTTAATGCATCTTTGAATGTCAAACATATTGGTGGTCCAACTGAATGGTAACTATTGCCTATAGACATGAACAGTACTATAGACAGAGTATACTGTGGTACCCATTATATTCTTCATGCATAGTTCTTATATATATCATCTATAGTCTTCATGCATTCCTAAGGACAAAAGTGTTATGCCTCTATACTCTATAATTTCATTGCTACATGCCACCTTTCAAACTAAAACAGCCATGCAAACACAACTGCTTCATGGCAGAAATATGAATGTGACAGAGGTAACCATACAAACAACTTTTGTACAGTCTCCTTCAAATTATCAAAGTTTGGTGGAAATTAAGAAACATAGAGGTTTAATTAATATTAGTATACATAGCATTAATTAATATTTGCAATGTGACATTGCTAAATTTAAGATATAACTGAATCCAATGGTTAAATTAAAATGTAAAAAAGATAAATTAAAATTACCAATAACACAACCACTCCCTATTTTGATGTCAACACCAACAAAAGACCTGCATTCAAATACATTACTCTCTCCAATGTGCCCACATGGAGCTTCTAATCGGCATCCAACTTCAAAAACATTATGTGCACCTATAAACAGTGGCTTTGGAGGATTCTCTTGCTTATCACTCTTTCTGTAAATAAAAAAAAAAAATAAACAGGTGATTACTTTGTAGACTAATATATTTTTGGTTCTATAGTTGTAGCAAACTTTGCTTAATTTTGTTTTTCTGTTTAATGTACTTAATGAATATCATCAATAATATTTAAATGTACACAAAATAATTCAATATAATACTTACTTATGTATAATAGTGGAGTATTCCTCGATAATACAATATTCCGCTATGATTATTGGCCCGCCTTCTGCAATAATAGTTACTCTTGGATGGATAACTGTACCTCCTCCTATTGTTATATCACCTTCGAGGGTACAGTCTTCGCAAACTGTCGCTCCTGGTAAAATCTTTATACTAAAAACAAATAACCAATTAAATAATACAAACTGTCGTGAGAATAATGCAAAATTTTATGTTTAAAACATACTTGTTGTGAGCCATAGTTATTAGAAATATAATTTACACCCTCAACGATTTAAGGTATTGTTATTTATATTTAATTTCATGGAATGTTCTTACTTAATTTACAAAATATATTGTGTATAAATTGAATTTACATTTATACATTAGTGATTTGGTGATTACATGACAATGACATCATAATCACAGTGACAGTGATGAAGAACGTGACAGTGACAGTAAATATTACTTCTACACTTTTTTTTAAGTCCATAACGTTTAAGCCTTTAGATTCATATCCTTTTGAACCATGATATTAAAATACAAAAATCAAGATTGATAGATATCGAAATAATTTTATATTACTGCACATTTTATGGATGAACGACATTTACGGCGATTATTAAATAGTGCTAGGTTAAAGCCCTATTATATAAAATGATTGCTTCTAATTGCTAGATCCATGACAAACATCATCATTTACAATTTTTTTTTCATGACAGTAGGTAATTATATTCTCTAAATAGAAACAAACTAATCGCTTTTCTATAATATAAAAATGAAATACAATGCATACCATAATTTTTTTCATACAACTACTTGACATTATAAGCTTTATAGTACCTATACTATTACTACTATTATACTACTATTAGGTACCTTTGAAAATCAACAAATTGATTTGCCACTTTAAATATTTTCATTAATTTCATTCACTCAATTCACTTAGTTCGTACACTCTGTGATCGAAACTTTGGGTTAGATAGATTTTGTGTTACTGTGTCCACTCCTGCTCCTACTCTTAGCCCATATCACCTTAAATAAAAAAATCTCTTTGAGTTCTATGTAATCTTTTCATTGAATTTAATAGTTTTTGTTATTAGTTCAGTATGGGAGTCTAAAAATCTTTTGTCTTTTTGACGTTTCATTGGTGAAAATGTTCATTTTCATTGATAGTACACTTTCTTAAAAGTATGTAGACGATTTCAATTTCATTCGAGATATTATAGTTTGGTATTATAAGAGTATTATAGTTATGGATAATTTGTAAACTGATACAAAACGGTATAAATCCTATCGAAATATTGGTTTAATGCAATTTAAAATAAAGGTACATTAGTATTACTATGAACATTGAATGTTAGAAATGTAATATTGCAGTCACAAACCAATGATAGAAAAAAGAAACCAGTATTTGTAAAAAGTTTGATACAGTACTTAAATATTCATTTATTTTATTGTATTAATATTTCTAAATCGTTGCGTAAATTATATTTTTGAGTTTTGTTAATATATGGGTAGTGTCGACTCTCAAATAACGTAAAAAAAATTACAAAATTTAAACTTCAAAGTAATAGGTATCAGTAGGTAGGTAATATGTTTATTACCATTCCAAAATTTTAAATAACCAATATATTATTATTTCTCTACTTACAAATAAAATAATATTGAATTTTTATTAATTTTTGTGAATGATATATTGCGGTTGAATTAAGAGACGAAATACAAACTTAGAAAATTCTGTTGTGATATTGTTTTGAACTTTTGGTTTACACATGGAATATTTTTACTAAGTTTATGGCAAATCAAAAGATGATGGACCCTAAGTTTTCTTTTCCTTTCAAGCCATATGCTATCCAAGAAAATTTTATGAAACAATTATATTACACAATAGAAAACAACAAACTTGGTATTTTTGAAAGCCCTACCGGAACTGTAAGTTTTTAACTTAACTCTTATTTATATTATTAATAGAAAAATAATAAGCGGACTGAATAATTGCTGTCACAAAAGCAAGTTTTTTTTTGTTCAGGGTAAATCATTAAGTATTTGCTGTGGAGCTATTCAATGGCTTAAAGATAATGAACAAAGAAATCTGGAAAATTTGGAGAAGAATATAGAAAGTCTCAAATTAGAGCTGAATAATAATTCAAGTAAGATAGTTTTTCATGTCTATTAATGAAATTTAATGTAATATGATTTTTATTCTCATGGATTGTCATACACACATGCACTCAGAATACCAACAGTTTGAAAACATCTCATTTGGATATTACTGGTAACAGGGCTGTTTTCAGAATTGTTAGTTCTAAATTGTAAAGGCATTTTATTTTCCTTCCTAATTTACCAATGTTATCGATTGTGTTTTTGTGAAACTTAGAGTGTCAATAAGCTGACAGCCCATTAGAAGAAAAGTTGCTGTAACCGTGAATATTATATCACGGTTACAGCACCATATACAAAATAGATTTACACTTTAATGCCTTTTCATTCATCTCTTATGTATTGCCTTTCCAGAAAAATATGATCTTATGCCTCTATAATTTTATAGCCATATCTTCTCCTTTTTTTGTGTGATAATATAGTTTATTATTTGTTTGCAAAAAGTGATTTTATTATAGGTGCTAATGACTGGCTAGAAGAAGAATATGAAAAAATCAAGAAGAGCCAGGAATTAGTTGCCATGCAGGCAAAAGTACATAAAATAAAGGAAAGAATTGAACAATTTAATGATATGAAGGTTCGTGTCTCTAAACTCAATTCAAGTGTTATCAATAAGAATATGGATAATTATTATAATAGAACAGATAAATATAAGAAAGGCTTGGATAAAGAAAATATTCTAGAAGAGAAGAAGACTGAAGATGATGATCTTATTTTAGAAGAATGTGAAGTTCAAGAAGATGATACAGAGCAAGAATCGGAGGATGAAGCTGTGGAAAACAAGGAGGATGTAACAAAAGTATTTTGAAATTATTTACTATCTGTATTTGAATCATATTAGCATTTACGTTTTACCACAGTGAGACTACAAGTAGTTTGTATCTCTATCACACTCATGTTTCTGCTGTTAAAGTGAAACTCTGTACTAAACTCCCTGACTAGGGTGGTAATAGTAGTAAGTTCATATATTCCTCTTCTGAAGAGAGACTTTTATCCAGCAGTGTGATTATAGTGGGTAGTTATGGATGAATAATAGATTAATAATATTTTAATTTTTTTATAAATTATGTCTTAGGGGTATCATGAGCATCACAGTAAATTGTGTAATAAATCTGATGTTGTTTTTGTTATAGAAGCAATAGTTGTTATTTCCTATTAGGTGAGCAGAGCACACCCAGTTAAAAATAAAATTTATATATTGATACTCCCAATGGAAAGTAATCTATACTGATTACTGATCCCCAAGGTTTGAGTACTTGGTGTAAAAATTCAATATTAAAAAAACAGGTAACTAATATATTGTAAGTGTTACAAATAAGTTTGGGGAGGGGAAAGAATTGTTAGTGTTGTGGACTACTAGTCTTATTGCTAGCAATATACTCTGTCAGGTTGACCCATGGTTTCCGCTGGAAACCATCATACAAATTCCAGGTGTATTCATCACAATGGACTATCTGTCTTGCCTTTACTTCTGACTTCTAATTTATCTTCTCTCACTGGTGTCCTGTCAGCTACACCATTAGCACAAGCCTTACCTTTCCATTATCATCCATTAAAAAAAAATTTGGGACTTCTTTTTTTTCTATCTCCCTTAAGGACATTCAGCTGTTGTTTAGGGATCTCTGAAGTATGACTAGATATAGTAACATCTAGATTTAAATGTTTCAGATCTTTATAGGCAGTAGGACACACAGTCAATTATCACAGTTTGTTGGAGAAATCAAAAGGACTGTGTTCAAGGATAATATGAGAGTAGTGACCCTTGCTTCTCGGCAGCATTATTGTATTAATTCAGATGTGGCAAAACTAAAAAATGTAAATCTTATTAATGAAAGGTAAATATTGAAAATACTTACTTTTAATTTTATATGTGAGAGTGACTTAAAAAGACACCATATTTCTATGTGTTCTTTACAGTTGACAGATTTTGATGATATGTGGTATGGGGATACCTTAAAGCTCTTAATATGCGACTTTTATCAATCTATACAGTTATGGATAAAAAATTTGTACCAGTTATTTAACTGGTATTCAGAGTTTGCCATAGTTAACATGGCGACAAAAAGAAATGAATAGATCACCTTAGTGAGTGTCAATTTATTGTGGCGGCTGTTCAATCAAATGTACCAGCATCTTATAATGAAACTCTAGTCTTATGGATTTGTTCTTGGTCGTTGACACATCCTCTCAAATCCAATTGTATGAATCAAATTGTACTAGTAAAAATTTCACTTAAGCATTTATAGAAAGTCTTAATTAACTTATACATACTAATAAATTATAATAATACTATAAAATTAGAATTTCAAATATATAAGTTAGTGGTTACATTATAATGTTGTTAAAATGTATTTATTTCATATATAAATTAATAACATTAATGTTCCAGATGCCTTGATTTACAAAAATCGAAATCAAAATCTACAGCAGTAGACTCAGATGGTAGGGCGACAAAGAAAAGTAAAACGAAAACATGCTCGGCATGCCCATATTATAACCAAAATAATATTAGTAAGTTAAAAGAGAAAATACTAGTTGATATTATGGATATGGAAGATTTAGTCAAAAGTGGTAAAGAGTTGAAAGCTTGCCCATATTATGCGTCTAGAGCTGCCATGGATGACGCAGAGGTAATAATAAAACTTTGATACCTTTAGAATATAAACAACACAATTGGGATCTTGGTTGGGAGGAAGGAATTATTAGTAATGTGGACTACCAGTCCTATTGCTAGCAATATACCCTGCCAGGTCAACGTCCATGTGGTTCCCCTGGAAACCATGCAGAATTCCAGGTGTATTCATTACGATGGGCTAACTGAACTGCCTTTTCATTCTTAGCTATCATCACTTACTGGTGCCCCACCAGCATATACTATTAGCGCAGATGGGGCTACCATTCCATTATCATCTATAAAAAAAAATCTCCTTGGTTTAGTAGTTGCTTGAAAATTTGAAAACATAAAGAGTATTAATGCTTTTTTCAGGTGGTCCTAATGAGCCATGCAGGCGTGGCTAGTTCTGGAGCAAGAGCAGGAATATCTTTGAATTTAAACAATAATATCCTGATATTAGATGAAGCGCATGGTCTTCCAACTGCATTAGAGAATGCAAATTCTGCACCACTTTCTGAAAGAGATTTGTCTTCTGTAAAGACTTGCTTACAGTTCTACATTAATAAATATAGTTCAAGATTGAGTTCAAAAAATTTGTTGCTGTTGAATCAGATGAGTTTTGTTGTTGGAAAGTTGTTAGGTAAGAAAAATATGTGTTTTTATTTGTAATATTTTCAAATTCAGTTTGAATTACATTTCTTTGAATTAAGAATTGTGTAAAAAAAAAAATGTGTAAATATAGCTATATATAGGTGTTTGAATATTTGTTATGATTTTGTTCAAAATGTTCAAGGTATTAAAACATACGTAGCACACAAGGATGAATGATTTTTTTAGTTTTTGTCCTTTTATACGATAGGTATCCTCCCTTTACACAGTTGTTGTTGTTGTTGCCTCCCATTACACAGTCCACCAATTTATATATATTTTTAAATACTTATTGTATTTAATTTTGATTTTTATAGCTTGCCAGGAAGTATTGAAGTGGTTTATAAATACAGTTTATTAGTAGGTTTCATATAATTTTGTAATTTTCCTTATATTATGTGGTTACGTATTATAAAACTTTATATGAGTATTTGAGTACATAGATGCTCGTATAAAATTTATAGACAGCTATATCTAAGTATAACTAATAAAATTAATTAAAATTACACTATAATAATATTTTTATTAATAAAATTAATATGACAAGAGCAATTTAACAAAACATAGAATACAATATTGAGACCAGTTTAGACAGGTATTACTATTGCTTATCCTATCGTGTTATTAGTTCAGTTTAGGAGATATGTATATCTAGTGAGTATTGAATAACATTTAAAAATGGGCTTCATTATAGTTTTATATTTATTTACAGGTTTATTGAAATCCAACAATACAAATAAAGATATACAAGAAGAAAAATCAATCTATACTGTAGAAGATTTTGTTGTAAAAGCTGAAATTGACCACATGAATTTTAGACCTATAGTGGAATTCTGTAGGAAAAGTAGATTAGCGCCTAAACTACACAGCTTTTCAATGAGGTACAGTCAAGAAGCTTTGGAAGAAGAAATCGAAAAAAGCAATAGTAATAAAAAGAGTTCTTTTAAAACATTTTTAGAAAATATGAAAAAAGATAGAGATTTGAAAAGTTGTAAACAAACGGTTGAAGATAGCGGAATAAATAGAGACAATAAAAAAGAAAAGAAAGATATTAAATTAGATAATGAAAACCCACAGGTAGGTTTGATTCATACTGATATAAAACAGTATTAGTAGTTTATAAAGATAGTGGTTTAGAAAATGTTTGAACTTGTTGCTTCATATTTGATTTAGCCAAGTAGAAGAGTCAAATATTTTTTTTTACTATAGGAAGAGTGTAAATATTATATAATATATTTATATAACTTTATCTAGAATGTTTAATAATGTCAAAGTATTTTTAGAATTTTTTATTTAATTTAAAATTGATATTATTGGTATTAATAATTAATTGTAATTGTTCTTAGAGAATTAATACAATGGAAACATCAGCAGGCACAGGATTGTATAAGATAATGGAATTCCTAGAGCTATTATGTGATCGCAGTGACAATGGCAGAGTTCTCGCTCAAACTGGCCCCCTCCACAGCGGCCAGTTAAAGTATCTCCTGTTGAATCCAACTGAACACTTTGCGGATGTCATCAAGCAATGTCGATCTGTTAGTATTGAAACAAGATATTTAAAGTGCATATTTATTATATCTGGTTTAAAAAAAGTAGATTTTACATGATGTCAGAACAAATATACTGACAAACAGATAAATGAAATTATTAAAAAAATTTGTACTGGCAACTATTGGTTTTTATTAAGACCCCTTTCATATTAATTTTATTTATATATCTCTTATGTATAAACATCAGATCATTTAATTACAATTTTATTATATTAGTAATATTAAAATTTTAAGTAACAATAATTTTTTTATACAGGTTATATTGGCTGGAGGTACTATGGAGCCCATTGGCGAATTTTTACAACTACTCACCGGCAGCTGCAATCACAATGACAGGGTGAATGTCGTAAAGTGCGAACATGTCGTGCCCAAAGACAATGTTCTGGGTATCTGCGTGTCAAAGGGACCATCTAATGTTAATCTCAATTTTGGTTATGAAAACAGGATGTCGAAAAATCTTGTAAGTTAATGAACTTTTTGATTTGATATATTCTTATAGTTCAGTATATTTTTTCCATAAACTGCTTTAAGGCACAGGTTTGATTCATTTGCTACTATTTGCGACAACTTTGAGATCGTTATTGCAACTAGTTGCGGGTCAAATTAGAATAAACACATTGCATTGCAAATATATATATGAGAAATATATCTTATGTATATTGGTTTTATATCTACTATATTTATAGTATACTACATATACTAATTTTACAGCAAAAAATTGAGGCAACTGAAAACTATTAAATGATAATTTTATTACAATTTCAGTTGGCAGAAGTGGGGCATATTCTAAGAAATATCTGTAATCTAGTACCAGGAGGTGTTGTCTGTTTTTTACCTTCGTATACATATGAGGAAACCGTATATGAAAACTTGAAGGCCACCGGTGTTTTAGAAAGTATTAGCAAAAAGAAAAGTGTATTTCGTGAACCTAAGTCGGCCGCGGATGTAGATCAGGTTTGTTATTAAATTTTGCACTTAATGTTTATGATTATAAAGGGGTGAAATTTCTTTTTTAAATCTGTTTAACACTTTTTATAATTTGGGAATCATTTATTTTGTTTTACTACACAGTTTTATATTTCATCTCATGTACCTATGCATATTTGTCCCAAACGTTTTAATTATATTTATTAATCTGTTGTTAAAAATTACGTACATGTTTATTTATTTCAGTTTTAATAAATACCTACTATTAATATTATAAATGTGAAAGTTTGTGAAGTGTTACTCATAAACAATTGAACAGATTTGAATGAAATTTGGTACATGGATAGGTTATATCTTAACACATAAGATATTTTTTATACTGATTTATCCGGGCAAAACTGCGGATATCAGCTAGTGTAATAATAAATATAATAAATAAATAAAATAAAATAAAAAAGCCTTTTATTTCCCATTATAAAGAAAAGAAAAAAAAATATTACATGCAATTTCATTCGTATTTTTTTTTTTTTTTTTTTATAATAAATATAAGAGACTGAAAAATTGTTTGACACGAATAAATCTCTTTTAGAGATTAGTTCACATTTGCTGACACTGTTACAAATTGTTATTATTACTGTATTGCAATAAAATATATATAAATAAATACTTAAGTATATTTATTATCATATTTTTAGGTATTGAACAAATATGCAAAGGCAGTGGAAAATAAACAAGGGTGCAGTACTGGTGCATTGATGTTAAGTGTTGTTGGTGGTAAACTAAGTGAAGGTTTGAATTTTAGGTGAGAATTTATTATAATTATTCTTTTTTAAATCAAAATTCACAAGCTAACCCCTGTAGGAGCAGTCGGCCGTGGTTCAGGGTCACAAGTAGAGAAACTGGCGTCCTATGCAGGCAGTACTCAAGAGCACCGCTTTCTACATCTTTTCCGGAAGTGGGTTGCTTTGCAATACCGATCACCTGAGGTGTTGTCCCACATCGATAATAAATTTCTTGTTTGTCGTTTTCGATATTTATTTCGACTTCATTCGGAAGTTTCTAAATATTTTTAAATAAATAATATAATTTTTATAGTACTCTTTTATTATTTACAGTGATGATTTAGGCAGATGTGTCATAGTAGTGGGAATGCCGTATCCAAATATAAAGTCACCAGAGTTGAAAGAGAAGATGAAATATTTAGACCGAATGGTTAGCCCTAATGCAGGCCATATCTACTATGAGAACTTGTGCATGAAGGCAGTCAATCAATGTATAGGTAATTATTTCTAATTATGTACTTTAATAATAATTAAAGATTGTATTCCATTAAAAAAAAAAACCGACTTCAATTGTGACAAAACCAGTTATTTTGATCTAAAAACTAGACTACTGAATCGATTTTGATAAGATTTCTATGGGACCAATGTGTAAGTATATCATTTTAGATAAAAAAGAATTTTTCAAATCGGTTTAGAACTGACAGAGTTATGAGGTAACAAACATAAAAAATACAAACGAATTGAGAACCTCATTTATAAAGTCACTAGAAAAGAAGTTTTTTAATTAAGCAAGTTATACCTGATATCATAAAAATCTTTCGTAACGTTTGAATTCATTTTAGGTCGAGCAGTCAGGCACATCAACGATTACGCGTGCGTTTTATTATTAGACGAAAGATATTCAAGACCTCAAACTGTTTCGGCGCTGCCGTCATTTGTACAGGTAATACATATAAATATACTTGTTATTGTTATATATTAATCTATATCTTAAATACGCTAATGACAAAAAGTATTGCCACGTATATCTATCAATCGTTAAGGCGGCAAGAGATAACAAAAACTTCAATAATTTTTAGTAAACGTATGAATATGATAGTACATAAGTAATTTTTATGATCTATCTATCTAATAATAATAATAAACTCTTTATTGCGCACAGTAGAGATGTATACAAGGAATATTTATACAATGTGCATATACAAAAGGCGGTCTTATCGCTAAAAGCAATCTCTTACAAACAACCTGGCATAAAGAATGGATAAGTACAGAGAGAAAGGTAGATGACGCAAGTCAGACACAGTAAATACATAAAAGGAATCAAACGAAATGCGAAATATTCTAAATATAAAAATAAGATCACAATACATAAATATACATATATAATATAAATAATAATACATAAACATAAATACATTAATATACTAAATAAATCATAGATCATATCTAGGATATTTTTTCTACATATAGTTGTCTAAAAAACACAACTATACGGCCACCACCTTTTGTAAACAAATTATTTTGCCCAATCTGTAACATTCATTTTATATCTTGACTACAAATTTTTGGAGGTTGATAGAATTAAAAAAATCGTAAGAAACGACGGTAATTCCTATTTTTTCGTCCTTCGTACATTAATCATTAATGATATAAGACGTGTAGGGCCCGTCGTAGAATAGGCCAGCCGTTCCTTTCTCGTGGGTGTCGTAAGAGGCAATTATGAGGAGCTTATGTGGAGAGGTGGGCAGTAGGCTATATTCAGCAGTGGACAGTTATTGACTGATTCAATGAACAACGTTAGATATTAACAATTTCTATTTTACACATTTTACATAGATATTCACATAGGTTTGACATTTTATTGGGGTTTAGATGGTGTAGGGCTATCTGACCTGCTTTCATTCTCATCTATCATCTCTCACTAGTGCTCCGCCAGCGTATATATGTAGTTAGCGCAGGCGGGGCTACCGTTGGAACCCGCGGCACCGTCGCTATTATGAGATAGGAGGTATATCGTCAGGTTATTTAGCCGGTAGGAGTCCGGCAGTACCCACACGGTCCCTAAGCTGTGTGGGTCTGCATGATGCATTTTTCCTGACGTAAAAAAAAGGCGGGGCTACCATTACATCTACACATATAAAAAAAATTACACTAATTCCAAATGTTAGTACTTATTAGTAAGTAGACTTTAGTCAACAAGTGTATAATGAACTTTCACTATATGATAAATTTATTATAGAGTATTGTAAGAGAATTTCTTTTATTTCAGAGATCACTAATCACCGATAGTGCCTTTGGGAGTACAATAAGTAATGTAGCTAAATTCTTTGCGAGGCAAAAACAAAAGTCTTTCAATGAAAGTGATAATAAATGTAATAAATAATATTTATTTAGAAAATATATCTAATATCACCAGCTCAATATTTTATTTACATATAAATACATATTATTATTTATCAGAGTAATTCAGAAGTAACCTGTAGGAAGTAAATTTATTTTAATTTAAAAAAAAATCAATGGCATTGAAAATAATCACTAAATATAAGTTTCGTAAAGACAAAACGATAATAAAATTTATTCACTTGGGACTTCGTACCTCTGAAATACTGATGTTTTAATTTATTTACATAACTACAAATATTTGTTGTAATACAAAGACTTAATACCATCAATGACCAATACCAGTCTATCAATATTCATATTAGTTTTGTCACCAAACGAAATATGTACACTGTATACCATATAATTATAGCTATGTTACATAATATATGTAAACAATATGGAAATTAAAACTTTTTTTTATACAATAACACATTTCTTCAAACACAGTTGGTTTACATATTTTTATCCAAATCATTTAATAAATATGTTTTTTATAAAACATCATAATGTTGATCTGTAAATATGATACTCTTATCCTTCTATTCCGCCAAAGCTTCCGGCAATGTAGTGCCGCAAGTACCTTGAAAGTAATAATGGAAATCTGGAGTGGCAGGCGTGGGTTCTAAGTTGAACTCCGCAACTATTGCGCCTCTTGCGGCTGCCTGAGGCGCGAACATTGCAGCAGGGTACACTACAGATGATGTACCTACTACTAAACATACATCACATGTTGACATAACAGCTTCTGTAAAGAAAAATATTGGACGAATGAATGTTGACAAAACTCTTCTTTGCCTAAGATATATATGAAGAAATCTCTATTGGAGATAAGCTCGCCTTTATGCACTATTATGTTTGTTTTTACATTTTAATAACCTTTTCTGTACAATAAAGAAAGAATAAAGAATACATCTTTGTGTAATTTTCATTCATGTAAAGCGATGGCAAGGAAATTATAAAAATCATCACCTTAGATGTCCATCTTACTTTTTTTTCTTCTACCAAACAGCTGTGTTTGCATGGCTATAATTCGGATTAAAAAATATGGCATTGTAGTTGTAGGGTATTGAGATATATATGCTGCTGGGTGCCACAGTGTATTCTACTATGACCATCAGGGGGGTCGTTAGTTTGTTTGCCATTCTGTGTAAGTTTTTAGTGTCTCAATATGTATGTCTATAGTAGTGGCAATGATGAGATGCTTTATCACCAAAGCTATAAAATTATATATTAAGTCTATATATAATATTTATTATTTTTTTATTTTACCATATAGGCTACCAAATGACCTAGTAGATATGTTAAATCATTCAAGTAATAGTTCATATTTTTAATAATAAATTATCCACTTACCAGCATTGCTAAGAACAGCTGGCTCTAAACTCTCTCCAAACCACACAATGTGTGGCCTCAGTAAGCCTTTACAATCAGGTTTTTGGCAATGTGGTAGATCCTTCACTGGTATATCAGAGCCAACTACATTTTCATCTGGAGCTCCCCTGTTAGCCAATGCCTGTAATTATTTGTCACATACTGCTTATACAGTATTTGAACATATAGATAGATAAGCACTTTATTTGAGCCATTTATGACACATGTAAATTAACAAGTTCATATAATAAAATTTATATATAAAATAATATAAAGAAATGTCATTTCCAAAATTATATTGTAATTGTATCCAATTTAATTTTAACAGTAATTTCAACATTATTCATTCTTAAAATTATTCTAATTACCTCACATATAGGGCTGTCTGTGTTGACCAAAACTTCTTTACATTTGGTGCAGCGGGTCTTGTAAAGATTTCCATGGAGTTCTATTAAGTTTTTAGTACCTGCCCTTGCATGTAGCCCATCTACATTTTGTGTAATAACTGTTATTTGTTTATCTGAGCTATGTTTCTTTTCATAATCAGCTATAGCAATGTGGCCCTGGAATCATAGTAATATAGTATTTCTGAATTTACTAATAAAAGACAAAATTTTTTAGGTAGTAAAGTTAGAATGGTATAAGGACATTCCTTTTTCCTATAATGGTATTAGTTTGTTGATAATGATAAACACATCAATTAAGTTATAGACCAGTTTAAAGGAAAGAAAAAATATGTTTAGTTAGTTTTACAAAACTCCTACCTTTCCCATGGGTGTTGTAAGAAATATCTAAGGGAACTTAATGTTAGAGGGATGGACAGTAGCATCCCTTTTAAAAATCACCAGAGCTTAACTGTGGTTACCAACCTGCTTGCCAAGTATGGCAACTACTGGCAAAACTCCTCTTCTGCGGAAGGCTTATGTTCAGCAGTGGACAGTTAACAAGTATATAACACATATACAAGACAAATATTAGTGAATATTCAAAATATTCTTTAATCATATTTGGTTACTTTTTTTTATAATTTACTTCACTTTTTTTAATGAAATTAAAATAATATAATTAGCATAACGTACCGCATTTGGTTGAGCTTTTGCAGCCACTTCTCTCCTATAATGATAAAACTCCCAAACTAAACTAGGACTAGTTTTGAACGCTCCTGGGGTTGCTAGCGACGATGCTTGGTACTTCCTCCAGTAACCACCGGCTCCTCTAAAAGTAGGTATACCAGATTCCGCACTTATACCAGCTCCAGATAAGATTACCACTTGTTTTGCAGACTTTAAAGCCTCCTTGAATTTGGACATATCACTTGATTGCCTTAGTGCCATGATTTTATGAACACTACACGAAAGTAAACTACTACGAAATACTCTTAAACTAATGTACATAATTTTAAAAGGTTAATAAGTGAATCGAGTCATGAATAATCATAAATGTTAATCGAAATGAATATTCAGTAAAAAAATAAACAATATAAATATTGAAAATAGAGCTTAAAAAATAGATTATCAAATTTAAAAAATCTGTAGTACAGAATAAATACCATTGTCTTGTTTGTCGTTTGTCTGTCACTTGTCAATGTCAATACTGACAATAGATACTCTAGAAAAATAATATCATATCCTTAATCTATAATAGATATATGTAGATGGTTTTATAGATTTTGAAGTGAATTATTTAAAATATTTAGAATCCAAGAATGTTAAAGTGTGCTTTTACTTACATTGTTTATACAAAGCGATATAAAATTATACGCAGCAAATGTAACAAGAGTACATTAATTTAAATATCTGAGGCGTTATTTTACCGACGACCTCAAAAATCAAACTGATGTAGAAAGGGAGCTTAGGGCATTGGCTATTACTTGTAACATGTTGGCGCGCAGGTTTGCTCGTTATAGTCAAGAAGTAAAAATCACACTCTTCAAAGCATACTGTTGAACATTCTAGGTATACGAGCAGCCTATGGGTCAACTGCACACAGGCCTCACTCAATGTCCTACGAAACTAGTATAATAATAGTTTTAGAGTGCTGTTGGTACTAGTTCGCTTTTGTAGCACCTCTAGCATGTTTACTCAATCTCGCGTAGATGATTACTACGCTATAAGGAAAAACTGCATCACTGCTACACAGAGTCAGGACAAATACCAACAGCATTCTGAAAGCAATAAGCGAGAAATACAATTAGGCATTTCATTCAGATACTGATCTAGTCAACTGGGTCACATCTGAGTGAATTACTTAGTCTTTTTTTTACTAATATAGTTTGGAAGGAAATTGTTACTAACAAAATAGACCAAATTGTAGCCTGAAACTAAAAATTATTATTTTTATTAAAGCGTGGTCACTTTAAGAATGTTTTGTTTGTCTGTCTGATTAAAAGAAATTTTATAACTTAATACATATTACCCTAATTAAAAATTAGTGTACGTTTTCTCGGAATCGGTAGAATGATTTGTAAGATACTAATTGATCTCTTCATTATGTGACGTCATCCTAGGAAGTCACGTAATGTTAAAGCAATACCTAAGTAGTCAGAAATATAAAACAAAAGCCAAGAATATGTTTTATATTTGATTAAATTGTTATATATATAAGCAGGTAATCAAAACTGTAGGCAGATAACTGGTATTCATATTTCTCATAAAACAATTCCATCCGACCGAAACCTCATAATGCTTTACCTGCAATGAATATTATTTTCAATTCGTGTTCATTTTGTTTGTTATACTGACTCGCACAATGTACGAGTACCAATCTCCTAATACATATACATATTCGTATTTACAGTCAAACTTAAGTAATTTACGCTTCATGAAACACATAACAAAAACCTACGAGAGTTGAATTTGGTTCAGGAGGCTGATTACCTATAAATCTAGATACCTATATGAAACCGTGTGGTCCCGGTATAGAATGGGGCACTCCTTCTTTTTTATGGGTGTCGTAAGAGGGGTCGAAGGACATTTAATGATCGAGGAATGGGCAGCAGCGTCTCTTTTAAAACGTCACCAAAGCTTAACTGCAGTTGCTAACCCACCTGCCAAGCGTGACAACTATTGGCAAAACCCCCCAAGGGAGAGGCGTATGTTCAGTAATGGACAGTTAATGGCTGATATATATATGATGATAATTAAATAAATAATTATTTTTTTTTTTATAGTGGGTAACAATGAAATGGTAACCCCGCCCGCGCCACCTGTATATGCTGGCGGGGTACCAGTGAGGGGTGATAGGTCAGAATGAAAAAGCAGGTCAGTTAGCCTATTGTGATGAATTCCACTAGAATTAATCACGATAGTTTTCAGAGGAAACTGCGTGGAGGTTGACCTGATAGGGTGTATTGCTAGGTATGGGAAAATTGGACCCCATTACTAATCCCTGTCCCCTCAATAAAAATCAATTGCCGAATATATTCTTATGTTAGCGCATCACTTTAGAATGACTGCACATATTTGGATAATTCTTTTTATGTTGTGTTTGTTAGAACAAGGTTTGTATGAAAGAAAACATTTAAAATATCGTGCGCAAAATTATTAGCGAATCACGCGGGAGAAGCCGCGGAATACATCTAGTTAACGACCACTTCCTCATAAATGAAAAAGTGATTGCGAACAGCCAGCAATAAATTGATAATTACTTATATATCGTCACTTATTGGTATCATATTTATGTTATAATGTAAGTCTCTACCCAACTAAAGCCTTACGTATATATAAGTTGGTAAAACCAGAACTTTGTTGCTACATTATCTTCATTCGGTGTGAAAGCCAGAAATCGTAATTCACTTCAAGTCCATTGTACCATTACCTCACCTAACCACAATACCTTGTGTGCTGATTCCTACATTTTATCGTCTCTTATTGTCAGAGGGTGTATACTAAGTAACAAAAGTATGTAAATTGTTAAAACTGTTACTGAATTTTTTAAGAAATGAAAATGATATGGTAATCACTAATGGTAGGTTTTTTATAGATGAAAATGTACTAAGAACCCCATCTGCGTTATCGGTATACGCTGGCCAGGCACTAGTACTAGCACTGGTGAGGACGAAAGCAGGCCACTGGTGGTTTTCATGGGGAACCGCGTGGAGGTCAACCAATATATCCTCCAATCGCTATAAGTACACACTGGCAGATGAATTCATCATGATGGGCTAACTAGCCTGTTTTCATTCTCATCTATCACTCTTCACTGGTGCTCCCATTAGCGCCATAGCATTTTCACCCATAAAAAAAAACTGCGGTTGCCAACCTGCTTGCTAAGCGTGGCAACTACAGGCAAAACCACTCCGATGCGGAAGGTCTATGTTTAGCAGTGAACAATTAACGTCTGATATGATGCTGATGATAAGTCTATTTGTTTATTACTTATCGGTGTTGAATCGATCTTCATGAAATATATGTACACAATATTTTACATGGAGATGGATTGACGTTGATTTTTATCCCAGTTTTGCTAACGTGGATGTAGCCAGTTAAAAATAAATTCAAAATTAATGCTAATATTATATATTTATTAATGCGATAAGATATCACCCCTTTCTCCTACAGTGATTAGTTCGCTGTTAAGTGTAGTGATATTTCCAATACAACTTTCTAACCTTTTTCCAACCCATCGGTCTGTTTCCATTTATCGTAGTAATGATAAATTTATCTTTTAATAGACAACAGTTGAGTGACTGTTTCTTTATTTATTTATTTTTTACTAAGAAATTAACAAAAAGTAAATAATATAAAATTGTAGTTTATGTATTGATTAGTATTAATAGTTAATCGTATTCTTAATATTAATAGTTAGGGGGGAAAGGGATTGTTAGTAATGGAGACTAAAAATCCAATTGCTAGCAATATACCCAACCAGGTCGACCTCCTCGTGGTTCCCCCTGGAAACTATCATGGTTAATTCCTGATGAATTCATCATGATGGGCTAACTGGCCTGTTTTCATTCTCATCGATAACCCTTCACTGGTGCTCTGCCAGCGTATCCCGTTAGCGCAGGCGGGGTTTACCATTCCATTTTAATCCATTAAAAAAAAAAAAAACAATTAATAGGTGTTCATACAGCACCCGTATACTTTAGTTGCCCGCTAACGACATGCTTTCCCAATGTTTTGGGTTGACTGGAAGAGATCTTTTTCAGAGGTAAATTTATCCTTGCTCACAATATTCATTAAAATATTATTTTTGTAGTTTACAAGTGCAGTAAAGAATAACATATATATAAATAAAAATCAACTGTCAAATGTGTGTAAGCGTATCTTTTCTGAACGGTTGAACCTATTTGATTAACTATTATTTTTTTGTTATTTATAAACAGTAATGACGAGGATTGTAATCAATCAATATACATAAAAATCAATTGCCGAATGTAGGTAAGCGTATCACTTCATCTATTTTGCAATTTTTTTTTGTTATGTTCGTAATTGTCAGGACAAGGTTAATAAAAATGTAAAAAAAATTGTATGAAAAAAAATTTAAGTGATCGCTCTTAGCGATAAGGTCGCCCGTTGTTTTCTCATTGTGATTATTTCTTGTAATTATTTATATTTATAATAAGTTTATTATTGTAATCTTTTGGAGGAAACAATAAAGAGTATCTATCTATCTATCTATCTAAGGAAAAATTCAAAAGGTGGGTTAAAAAATCGATACATCCATAAGATGTCGGGGTGAGTGGATAGTATAAAATAATTTATTTTGCTGTGTACTCGATATCATCGTTGAAAAATCGTGTACAATGTTCACCATAACATCATCAGATGCCTTTGTTGACCTCCTTCTAGTTTTACAGTCGCGAATATTTTTTTTTTATTATAAAAATAAAATAAAAAAAACAACTAAATAGTGTAGCTATTGGGAAAATATTGATAAGCGGAAACCTCCGCAATGCGTATGCAAAAAGAGACAAGCGGTTACAGAGTAATTTACAGTTTCTCTATTAAATATCTTGCAAAAAAGTTATTCAAATTTTCTATCGAGTATCCATTTAATTATAACATAAATATCATTCTTGTATTTGTATATCTTCAGGACTCGTCTCTTACGGGATATGCAGAGCTAAATTTCTTCGATGGTCTAAATGCTTACATACATATATTTTTTATTTACTTTTACAATTTATCCAATATGTGTGCACTGATTCCGAAGACTTCAGATTTTTTAAAAGTCAGGTTTCCTTCGGAAAGTACCTAATAGGGATAGTATGAAGCTAACCAGTCAAAGAATGACTAAGTGCTAATATCGTTTGCATGAGTAATTCTGTTTCACAAGTGCTTTTACACTCAAACTGTTCTTACCTAATTTCGTTTTGGTTTAAAGACGGCATACGGCTATGAAAATTAAATATTTGAAGGCTAGATCTCGGAAAAGGTAACGCTTTAACGGGACCAAATGCGTCACAGTATAAATTTTCTACTTCTCATGATTCATGGTGCTGCACATTACTATTCTTTAGGTGGGGCATTAGTTTTATTGCTTGTCTAAGTTGTATTAAAAAACTGTTTTTCGTAAAGAAGAAAAAAGTATTGTATTTATGACATTGGTGGAATCGGGTATAAATATTACACAATGAAAACTCTGACTTTTAACGGAAGACTAAAAAGTAAAAAGTAGAAGCAGCGAGCTCCAACTTTACTTAGCCATTATGTGCACGCGGCTACAACCATCCACTGCGGCATATATAAAACACCAACACCTGTATGCTTTGTGAACGAAACCATTGACGTCATAGGGATGAAGCATGCGCAGTTGCCAGCGTCGCCATATCTGTTGGCGTGGCGGAATTGAAAACAGGAGAATTAAGCAGAACGCGACACGCTGCTACAGCGATCACTCGCGTCACACCAACCAGAAACTTCCAAAGAAGCGCGGGAAATCATCCACCGGTAAGTAATGCAATAATTAACGTGACTAAAATTAAATCTACCTTGACTTAGGCGGGTGAAATTGTTGGATCGCTTTTTAATATTTTTTTTTCTACATGACGTTTAACTTTATAGGCTGTTTATTTTATTTTTATTAGTTAGGCGTACTCGTGAGAGAGTGATGTACTGAAAATAATATATGCAGAGCAGGAAAATGAAATTGAATCAGGAAAGTACGGGAAAGTGACTACAAGTGAATAAAGTTTCACAAAGTTGCTCCGTTAAGTTTTTTATTTATGCAACTTGAAATGACAAACAAGTTGACGACCGGAAATTAAATATCCGTCGTCTACTTAGAGAAGATCCGTATCAAGGGCCTTCAAGAACCGTGACGTCCATGGTGCAACCTATGGTACTCTTTTATATTAGCGGAAATAATTATACAGTCTTTTATATCTTTCACGCATTTTATATATATTTATATATTTATTTTATATTAATTACAGGACAGATATATTTCAGTTTCGTATGTAACAGCCAAGTTTTATTAATACAATTTATTGCATCGTTCATGCGTAGATGCTTCATTTGTGATTTGATTAGGAACGGTTTGGAGTCCCGATTTCGGTACCCGGGTTAAGCAAAATGTAGTTTTAAATTATTTATTAGTTATATTATCTATAAGTGTATTTGAGTTATAATTTTGTTATATGTAATGACAAAGTATCAAGATGGCATCATTTTATTCAAAATATTTAAATTGTCTACAAAACGACATCGGGTAATGTCGGCTCGAATGATAATGATAACTTACTGAAGCTTCAGAATTAAAACAAAATTGTACGGGGAGAATTTAATGGGATGATGGTAATAAAAACTGGGAAAGAGCGTATTGGCTCGCATAATTATGCGAGTAGTAGAGTCCTCTAAGACATCTCATTATTTTTTAATACCTACTCGTATATTAGTATGGGTAGTATAGTATTATATTATCTGTGGTATGGGTGATAAGTAGAATTTTCATAAATAATGAGTATAGGCATAAAAGAATATCAATTTTTAATTAAATGTCTATAGTTTATGGTTGCCACCTTCTATCAGTTGCGCTTATTTGTCATTCTAAGTTCCATAAAAAATAATAATAAGCACGGCGTCCGGTTAACATAACAAAGAAATTTCATGATATTGACGACCTTCGTGGCAAACGTTTAGCATCATTTTATCAACTGTTAACTGTTTACTGTTGAACATAGGCCTTTTCCATAAGGGGGTTTTGCCAGTAGTCGCCACGTTTGGTAATCGGGTTGGCAACTGCAGTTAGGATTTTGGTGACGCTTTGAGACGGACGCTGCTGCCTCTCCCTCGACCATTAAGTTCCCTTAGACGCCTCTTACGACACTCACGGCAAAGGAAGGGGTGGCCCTTTCTATATCGGGACTACTCGGCATGGCACGGCACGTGGAGGACGTTGTATAAGGCTACATGAGGTTTCGGGTTTGAATACCGATTGGGTCAATTTATGAAACGAACTTTTCTTTATTATAATACAATGGATTTTGGAATTCTGCAACATTCTCCCAGACTCCAGGTTTTCAAGTCTCTTTTGCAATAGGTAGATAGGTAATAACTACCAAAGGCCTTTATCATTACATTGTGTTCTAATTTTGTCCAATTTCATAACTTATTCCATGTGTCTCCGAAGATCCGAAGATCGAAGGAGGAGTCCCTCCTCCAAAAAATCTAACACTGTGTATATATAGTATAAAGACAGTCCACATTGTATCTAATGTACAGATGCGACTTCAAAAAGTAGATGGTTCTAATATTGACGGTATTTTTTTGATACAATGTATGTTCGCTAATTTCTCATCGATTTTGATGATTCTCCTTGCAATTTGGTTGCAAGTTGCTTTTAAATTATTTCTCAAGGATGAAGGTTTTCAAATTTTTTTCGTTTTTTTTGTGATTGTGTTATAAAAAAAACTAGTAAAGACCTAAATTCCGAATCGATTTTCAGGATAATTTTAAATCAGTAATTTATTCCTACATTGGTCCCATTTGTGTTTTGTGACGATTGAAGCTGTTGTTTCTCTTAGTAAAACAAAAAACTGTTAGTTCTGAAGCAAAAGCATTATCTGACGCATCTGGGTAAAATTTTTAATGACGCCCCTAAAAATAAAAATTAAAAAAGATTAACACGGTTGCCGAGTGAGCCGAGAGTGGTAGACTAGACTGATATTTTAACGCCCCTGAAGGTCGTCCGACTACACCGCCTCCTAAAGTTAGTAATATTTGTCAATGAATAATATCAGAAGGAGACGTACAAAAGCCGTTTGTTTGGATAACTTTGACTCACTCGTGTTTTTGCTGGGAAGCAATTGTGCTTGCACGGTTGTGTTTTATTTTCGAGGGCGGGATATAGATGTAAAATTAGAGTACACAGAAGTGTAACATCTTAGTTCTCAAGTATTTATTTATTTATCAAGACACACCAACAGTAGGTATGTATATGTTAGCAAAACACATTACAATTACAAAAATATTTTTAAAATAACGGCACAGTAAATTGGATAAATATGAAATAATTGTAATGAATTTATTGTAATCTCGGGAGGCTAGCGGTGACAGTCATATAATATTTGTTCTTTAAACAATTTTAATCTGTTTGACCTACATGTAATAAAAATACTTTAATTTCAAGCGTATTTGCTAATGGGTATATTGTTGTACAATATTTAGTATTGTATTACATTTGACACATTAAAAAAATTTAACATAGGAACAATGGCGAAGTTATTCCATTGAGGGATTTTTTATATTATATCATTTAACAAACATGTACGTAAATAAATCCCCCCCCCCCAATTTTAATAATTAAAATAACATACATAACGTGTGTATGTATACACATTTCCATGTTATACAGATGTTATCATTTAACTAATAGTGATGACCTCTGTAATTGCAATAGCAGACATGTTTCGGGTTTGATTCCCTGTCGGATTATATAATATTAACATATACATATGACTTAAGATATACAATTAATAATTAAAAGGATATTCTAACTTGATAATCAGATATTTGGTGTGATTGTGTCATACATATATAAATTATGCCAGTTTCGTTTGAAAAAATCTGTGGTATGTATTTGATCAAGCCGTATAGGTCCCGACATAGAATAGGAACTCTTTACTGAGGGAACTGATGTAGGGATGTACAGCAGCGTCGCTCTTAAAATATCACTAAAAGTCAAACTGCGGTTGCCAACCCGCCTGCCAAGCATGGCAACTACTGTCAAAAATCCCCCTTTATGAGGAAGGCTATTTTCAGCAGTGGACAAGTAACGGCTGATACAACATGTATTTGATCAAATTTGTCACATTGCGAAACTTTCGGGACGAGAGCTCTCATAGTTTGACTAAATTTTCTTCTTCGATGATCTTTCTATAGTAGCGTTTTAATGGGGTAGGTTATCCGCTATCACCTGTCATATTGTGTTTAGTGAGACGCCACACAAACGAACGTAGGTAGATATTATTCTGTTTGTCAAGATATTTCATTAGATACCCATATCAAGGAAGTAATAGTGAATAGGGGTAGTACATTTTTGTTATAACAGACTGTATGTATACATACACAATGCATACCCATTCTGTCATATTCCAAATAGAACGACTTCATATAATAAAATAGTCTATCATATTTTTCTTGCTAAGACCCTTTCATTTGGTACCCATGTCACGGGGGTAGTGAAAGGAAGCGAGAAAAGGTTATCTAAATTCTTGAGGGGTAATGACAATAGAAATTTTATACTCTATTTTAAGGGGTTGCCAAATTTAATAAAATTACATCTGGAAAGGTTCTTTATGGATAAGCGATGCGATAATATAGTTTTCAATAGATGAATAATTTTTACTTCAGAAATTCAAGAATTTATACGATATACGATACTTTCCAGGGAGACCTGCGTGGAGATTAACTTAACAGGGTGTATTGTTAGCAATGGGGCTACTAGACACCTTTACTAATGATCCATTTCTCCTAGCAACCGTAGTTACTCGACGTAACATTATTGAATATATCCGAAAATAATCAATTATTCAAAACAAACTATCACGCACTCTAAGGTTGACTGGAAGAAATCCCTTTTATGGGATAAGTCCGCCATTGTATTCATTATTTTCTTAAGAACTCTGTGTCTTATACTTTAAGACTTTACTGTACAATAAAGTGTTACAAACAAACAAACGAATAAAATGATGATAGGAAATAGGTCAACTAGATTTACATTTTCTATCGACCTCAACTAAGTACTATAAACCTATAAGTGAGTACTAAGTACTTATACTAGCGGCCCGATACGTGCTTCACTACATATAAAGTGAAATAATAAAATAAAATAATTTTAACATCAAATTTATTTATTCAAACAAAAAAAAATATTTTATTTATAGCTAGCTATTTTAATTGTACTGTCAACACTAAAAAAAAAAGTTTCAATTTGACAGCACAATCCCCATCTTAAAACAAGTTTGAATTTAACAAAATGATCCACCATTTATTAAATTCATTTCTTACAAAAAATGTGATAAATGCTCCGATGTGTGTGATGTGATAACCGCTCGACCGATTTTGTGCAAATTTCACACAAAACATCCACTAAATAATCCGAATAAAGCCTAAACATTTGGTTTGGATAGGTGAGCACGTTCTTGAGTTATAAAATTACAACGAAAAGTGGCATTAATTTTTATATATATAGATTGTTGAGCAAATACCTGAACAAGACATGTTTTTCACTAAAAGACAATCTATCTAAATTAAGTTCTTGGTAGAATAAAAGGGCTGTTACGATATCAGCGGGAGTAGACAGACGAGCCCGACTGTGTTAATACAAAAGATCTCGTAATCCAACTCGAGATGAAAAGAAGTTAATCAATGTGTAGTCAAGCATCAATTCAGTCGTTTATGTGGAGGATTTGCAAATAAGAAACATTTTAATAGCATGCAATAAATAT